GCTGCAAAAATGCTACGTCCCTACACCCCTATTCACTCAATCTGCTGTTTTGCCTCGCGACTAGACTAATAAGCCATTTACGCCAGCTACTTGAATGCTTATCTGGTGTAAATGCATCTGTCAGCCACATTCCACATCATCAATAAAAGCTGGCGGATCGTTTTATAATTCAATGATATAAGCTCTAAGCATCTTTGGGGGGAAATATAATTTAAAGATCGCCATGCTGCGGTTTCCGGGGTTGCTCGTGTCTGCATTGACAATACCACCCGTTGGAAGTCGAAGCATCTCCACCCTGGAATTGACCGCAGACCTCCGTTTGCGTTCTTAAGACTTTGCTGGATGCTGGCTTATCTGAAATAGCCATATCTTTTGGCTTGTCCGGTCTGATTTGCAGATCAACTCTGCAAAGCCAGGAGGGCCACGAGGCAGAAGGCTGGCTCTGGCGGGTCTGCACGAGAAGACCCTCACCCATCGCCACCTGTCCATAGCTCGGTGGCTTTCAAAAGGCTTCTGGTTTCGATTCCAGGACCTCCAGCTTAAAGGGGGAAAATAATAATAATAATAAGCAGGCGACAAGCCGCCATCTGGATTATGTGGTATGTGGGCTCGCGCAGTCTGGAACCTAGGGGGAATGCAGCAAATAAAGTTTTTGGTGTCCGGCCATTTCAATAGATGAAGCGCCAACCAGAAGGCCTCCGGAAAAGACGCTGCCTCTAATGTAAGGGCTGGAGATGGGAGTGATAGATTTGAAATAAAATAATCAATCCAATAGAGAGGATTTCTCCTTGGGTTACTAGGAGTGATTGTGTTGCTTTTTACATGACAAGATGGAATGGAGTGGGGTGGGGCAGAGCGGGACGGGACGGGATAGGATAGGGATGGGATGGGATGGGATGGGATGGGATGGGATGGGATAGGATAGGATAGGATAGGATAGGATTGCATAAGATAGGGATGGGACGGGATGGGATGGGATAGGATAGGCTAGGATAGGATAGGCTAGGCTAGGGTAAGGTAAGATAGGGATGGGATGGGATAGGATAGGGATGGGATGGGATGGGATAAGGATGGGATGGGATAGGATAAGATAGGGATGGGATGGGATAGGATAGGGATAGGATAGGATTGGGTTGGATTGGATAGGATAAAATAGGGATGGGATGGGATGGGATAGGATAAGATTGGGATGGGATGGGATGGGATGGGATGGGATAGGATAGGATAGGATAGGATAGGGATGGGATGGGATAGGATGGGACGGGATGGATGGGATAGGATAGGCTAGGGTAAGATAAGATAGGGATGGGATGGGATAAGGATGGGATAGGATAGAATAAGATTGGGATGGGATGGGATAGGATAGGGATAGGATAGGATTGGGTTGGATTGGATAGGATAAAATAGGGATGGGATGGGATGGGATAGGATAAGATTGGGATGGGATGGGATGGGATAGGTTAGGATAGGATAGGATAGGATAGGATAGGATAGGATAGGATAGGATAGGATAAGATAGGGATGGGATGAGATAGGATTGGGATGAGATGGGATGGGATAGGATAGGATAGGATAGGATTGGATTGGATAAGATAGGGGTGGGATGGGATGGGATAGGATAGGGATAAGGATAGGATAGGATGCATGTGCATGTGTGGGGGCCCAGAGCACATGCATAGGATCCACACGCACATTGCATTTTAGGGGTTCGGGCACTCACGGGTGCATTCTGGCATGCACGCGCATGCTTTGGGCGCTCGGTCTGGAAAAGGTTAGCCATCGCTGGAATAAGGAATAGAAATAAAATAGAGTCAAGTAGAGTACCGTGTTTCCCCGAAAATAAGACCCTGTCTTATATTTTTTGAACCCCGAAATAAGCACTTGGCCTTATTTTTGGGGAGGTCTTATTATTTTGGGGCGCATGGAGCAAGATGGGGCTTTTCTTGTTGTCTTACCTGATTTCCAGCTCTGCGTTTAAATATTTTCAGGGAGGGCTTATTTTCAGGGGGAGGGGCTTATTTTAGTGCATGTGCTCAAAAGCCCAATTGGGCTTATTATCAGGGGAGGTCTTATTTTTGGGGAAACAGGGTAGAATAAAATAGAGTAGAGTGAATAGAATAGAATAGAATAGAATAGAATAGAATAGAATAGAATAGTATAGAATAGAATAGAATAAGAGAAGGAATGGAATGGAATGGAATGGAATAGATTATAATAATATAAAACATTTTATAACATAAAATGTTATATTTCAGTCTCTTCCTCAACCCATGAACACTTTAGCAAGGAGCTGAATATTTGTGGCGATGCTTTCAATTCCCCCTAATCAGAAATATTTTCCCTCCCCCCCCAGGCTGGTTATCCCCCTAATCAGAAATATTTCCCCTCCCCCCCGGGTTGGTTATTATTTGATTATTTTATTTTATTTTATTTTATTTTATTTTATTTTATTTTATTTTGATTTGATTTGATTTTTATACCGCCCTTCTCCAACAGGACTCAGGGCGGTGAACAGCCGAGATAAAACATGACATATAAAATTTAAAAAACAGTTTAAAAGACATTAAATAATTTCGGCCCTCAATTTAAAACAACCCAGTTAAAACCAATAATCACGAAGCGCCCGGCTTTAATTTCCAAGGGTGTTTAAAAAAAAAAAGAGAGAGAGAGAGATTGGATATTTTAATACCTGATCTCTTCAGGTAGCAATTTGCATTTTCAGGCGGAGATATTTAAAAGGGCACCTCTGGGTGGCATTTTCTCTCGTGGCTCCTGTGCCGTTTTGTGTGTGCATTGGCTGGGATGAATCTAAGTGTCACATTTTCTGTGTTTTGTTTGGTTTTGTTTTTTAAATTAACCCAGCCGATGAAAATCCCCACCGTTTTTTTTTTTTTTATTCTATCTCAAGAGTCTGATCACAAACCTAGTTTCATTTCCCCGAACCGTTCCTTTCTGGTTTTCCACGTCAAACGATTCTAGGTTAGAGTCATTAAAATATTGCTCTTCTTAGAGATTTCGTTTTCCCCCCAGGGCTTTTAAATGGGGGGTGGGAGGGTGGGAGCGATTTCCACGGCGCTGTTTAAATTAATTAGGTCAAAATTTTGCAGGGGAAGTAGAAAAAGTTCTCCCTGCTAACTTCCCACCCCCACCCCGACCCCCCCGGTAAAATGCCTTCCCTGATTTCCTCGGCAATTATGGAGCTTTGGTTCGTTAGCAGGTTTTCATTACGAATGGATTTTTTTTTTTACTCTTTCGAAACTAGGATCGTGCAGAGACTAGAGACAGTCACTTATCTGGTATGATATAGGTTCATCTCCAAGGTCCCTTCCGTATTCTATTCTATTCTATTCTATTCTATTCTATTCTATTCTATTCTATTCTATTCCATTCCATTCCGTAATTCTATTCTATTCTGCATTCTATTCTATTCCATTCCATTCTGTAATTCTATTCTATTCTATTTTATTCTATTCTATTTTATTCTATTCTATTCTATTCCATTCCATTCCATTCTATTTTCTATTCTATTCCATTCCATTCCATTCCATTCCATTCCATTCCATAATTCTATTCTATTCTATTTATATTCTATTCTATTATTCTATTCCATTCCGTAATTCTATTCTATTCTGCATTCTATTCTGCATTCTATTCTATTCCATTCCATTCTGTAATTCTATTCTATTCTATTTTATTCTATTCTATTCTATTCCATTCCATTCCATTCCATTCTATTTTCTATTCTATTCCATTCCATTCCATTCCATTCTGTAATTCTATTCTATTCTATTTTATTCTATTCTATTCTATTCCATTCCATTCCATTCTATTTTCTATTCTATTCCATTCCATTCCATTCTGTAATTCTATTCTATTCTATTCTATTCTATTCTATTCTATTCTATTCCATTCTATTTTCTATTCTATTCCATTCCATTCCATTCCATTCCATTCCATAATTCTATTCTATTCTATTCTATTCTATTCTATTCTATTCCATTCCGTAATTCTATTCTATTCTGCATTCTATTCTATTCCATTCCATTCTGTAATTCTATTCTATTCTATTCTATTCTATTCTATTCTATTCTATTCTATTCTATTCTATTCTCATTCCATTCCTTCTCTTATTCTATTCTATTCTGCATTCCATTCCATTCCATTCCATTCTCTATTCTATTCCATTCCTTATTTTATTCTATTCTGCATTCTATTCTATTCTGCATTCTATTCTATTCCATTCCTTCTCTTATTCTATTCTATTCCATTCTACTTTATTCTATTAAGAGTGAATGACAAATAGTCCTCGACGTACTACAATTGAGCCTCAAATTTCTAGTTACTTGAGACATTTGTTAAGTGAGCTCGACTACATTCTACCAGCTTCCTTGCCACTGTTATTAAGTGAGCCACTACCGTTGTTAAGCTAGTAACCCAGTCATTAAGTGAATCTGCCTTCCCCATCAACTTTGCGTAACAAGTCGCAAAAGTGCCCTGGGAAACCGCGACAGTCATAAATACGAATCAGTTGCCAAGTGTCTGAATTATGATCACACGACCGCGGGGGATGCCGCAAAGGTCGTAAGAGTGAGCAACGACCATAAGTTACTCTTTCTTTTCCACTGTAACATCGGTCGCTAAATGAACTGACCCAAGGAGACTGAGATTTTGGAAAAACCCATCCTCCAGGCCATGTTACCATAACTGCAGACTTGATGAATCTCTTTTTATTGGGGGCGAAAGGCCAAGCAGAATGTTCTGACCTAGGCTTCCCGAGATAGTAAAAATGAATCACAAATAGTTTGTAAAGAGTCCGACAGAAGTCTGCCACAGTCCTTCAGGATAAGGCTGATAAGCACCCACCTTTAACTCCCTTGACACGCTGCCAAAGACCTAATTGCCAATTAGCTTTGCGAGGCCACACGGAGCACAGAGTCAAAACGGAGCTTCAAAATTTAAACCGACCAGAACGAACAAAGTTGCTTCCTGCAAAGGCTCACCTGCTTTATGTCTTATGGGAGGGCAATCATCTCCAAGCCTTACTCCCGAGTTGTCCCTTTTGTCTTAATTGTTCTTGCCGTCTTGCAGCTCTGCACATGCGCACATTAGGAACAGGCTCCTCCTGTTCCTCTGCCTCTCTGATGTCCGTCTCTGGAGGCTCCGAAGGCAGCACATAACTCCCAGATGGCCTTGGCCCCCTCTCTGCCTCTGACGCAGAGCCCTCGTCCGAGCTGTCCCCGGACTCCAGGACTGGCCCATGTTCCTCCCCAGCCTCCTCACTGTCCGACTCTGCTGCCGCTGGCGAACCACAACACAGAACTGGAAAAATTGTAAAAGGCACCCACATATATCTCAGCCTCCCCCCTGCTGCCCCCCCCCAAAAAAAAGAAACACACAAAAGAACAGAAAGGGCAGAAATCACAATTACAAAGCGAGAGAGAAGGCTTTGCTATATATAGCCAGGCAGATGTTTCAGGTGTTGGGAACGGCGTTCACAAAAGGAGGGATTCGGTGCAATTAATTCTGAAAGGTGTAAATTGATAGCAATTTCTGATTAGCTCCAAGTGTCTATATAATTTAGTGACGCGAGTAAAATTAATCTGATGTCTCTGGTGAGAATTTTAACGTGGGTCTAAAATTAGCAGGATAGAACAGAATATAACAGAATAACAGAGTTGGAAGGGACCTTGGAGGTCTTCTAGTCCAACCCCCTGCTTAGGCAGGAAACCCTACACCACTTCAGACAAATGGTTGTCCAACATCTTCTTAAAAACTTCCAGTGTTGGAGCATTCACAACTTCTGGAGGCAAGTTGTACCACTGATTAATTGTTCTGTCAGGAAATTTCTCCTTAGTTCTAGGTTGAGCCGAGGTGGCGCAGTGGTTAGAGTGCAGTACTGCAGCTACTTCAGCTGACTGCTAGTTCAGCAGATCAGCGGATCAAATCTCACCGGCTCAAGGTTGACTCAGCCTTCCATCCTTCCGAGGTGGGTAAAATGAGGGCCCAGATTGTTGGGGGCAATATGCTATTTAGTATACTGTCTTTGGTGTAAGCCGCCCAGAGTCCTCGGAGAGTGGGCGGCATAGAAATAGGAATAATAATTAGTTTCCACCCTTTGCTTCTTGTCCTCCTTCAGGTGCTTTGGAGAATAGCTTGACTCCCTCTTCTTTCTGGCAGCCAGAGATTTTGAAACACTGCTATCATGTCTTCCCTAGTCCTTCTTTTCATTAGACTAGAATAGAATAGGAGTTGGAAGGGACCTTGGAGGTCTTCTAGTCCAACCCCCTGCTTAGGCAGGAAACCCTACACCACTTCAGACAAATGGTTATCCAACATCTTCTTAAAAACTTCCAGTATTGGAGCATTCACAACTTCTGGAGGCAAGTCGTTCCACTGGTTAATTGTTCTCACTGTCAGGAAATTTCTCCTTAGTTCTAAGTTGCTTCTCTCCTTGATGAGTTTCCATCTGTTGCTTCTTGTCCTGCCCTCAGGTGCTTTGGAGAATAGCTTGACTCCCTCTTCTTTGGGGCAGCCCAATTAAACTGCAATTCGATTGCTCGATACGTATACAGGTGTTCCTCCACTTACAACCTTTTGAACTTACGGGGGGGGGGGGAGAGGAGTGGTTTACAACGGTTCCTCACACTTATGACCATTGCAGCATTCCCCAATGTCTGATGCTCAAAATTTATGACAACATCCAGAAACTTAAAACTGACCACTTGCTCCACTCGATCTCCATTGATAAGCAAAGACTGGATGTCTTGATATATTCCTTCTGCAGTCCACTATAATAAGCTCCTTGGTCTTATTGATGTTAAGGACCAAGAGATTGTCTCCACACCACGAAAGCACCCAGTCCACCGTTAAGACAAATGGTTATCCGACATCTTCTTAAAAACTTCCAGTGTTGGAGCATTCACAACTTCTGGAGGCAAGTCGTTCCACTGGTTAATTGGGCTAGCTGGATGCAAAACCATACCTCAAAAGTTGGACTCGCCAAAGCTAGAGGAAACATTTCCCCCAAACGTTAGAACCTTTTAGGTTTGAGGTGGCTTAAAATTATTTATGAAGGAGTAAAAATAAAAGGGATAAAGTGTAGATTTTGAAAAGACATTCAAGGTGGACTGTGCTAGTTTCAGGCAAAAAAACAAAAAAAAACCCAACCATTTTTAAAACAAAGAGATCCATTTATTGAACTGGAAACGTGGACCTTAACATCTTGTTCCTGAAATCAATTTCCTCGTCTCACACTTTACTACGTACAACACAGCCGGATCATAAATCCATCCCCTCCATACATACACACACACACACACGTTTTAAAGTTAGAAAAAAAATATATATTAGCTGTGTACCGTATAAAAGGAAGCGATGAAAAAAGCTGGAATCCAGCTGTCCGGATGTAATAAGCAAAGCCAGAAAAGGTGAGAGATTTTTATGGGGAAATAAATTTATTCCCTGCAGGACCCAACCCTTTGCTTCATGGCTGGAAGTTGAAGGCCAATTCTGGATCTATTTATCTAGAAGTTCTGATTTTTCAGGGTTTTTCCCCACCCCCAGTAACTACTCATCTTTCTAAATTCTTCGTAATCTCTGGAGAGAATCCACCTCTTTGATAGATAAGGTGGAACTTTTAATGTTTCGAGAAGCGGCCATGTTCTTATACTTCTCTCCTCAATAGATCAACGCCTCAAAGAGATGGTTGACATGCAAGCCGACAGATGTCATTGAAGGTCCCACCAAGTGAGGCCAACGTTGACATGATGGGACTAATGGTCCACCCTGACATCACCCTGCCAAGAAAAGTGCATATAGTCAAAGCGATGGTTTTCCCAGTTGCAATGGATGGCTGTGAAAGTTGAACCATAAGGAAGGCTGAGCGCCAAAGAATTGAGGCCTTTGAACTGGTGCTGGAGAAGACTCCTGCGAGTCCCTTGGACTGCAAGGCCATCCAACCGGTCAGTCTTATAGGAAATCAACCCCGACTGCTCTTTAGAAGGCCGGATCCTGAAGAGGAAACTCAAATCCTTGGGCCACCTAATGAGAAGGAAGGAAGGACTCCCTGGAGAAGAGCCTAATGCTGGGAACGATGGAGGGCAAAAGAAGAAGGGGACGGCAGAGAATGAGGTGGCTGGATGGAGTCACTGAAGCAGTCGTCGTGAGCTTAAATGGTCTCCAGAGGATGGTAGAGGACAGGAAAGCCTGGAGGAATGTTGTCCATGGGGTCGCGATGGGTTGGACACGACTTCGCAACTAACAACAACAATGGTCCAACAGCCACAAGTAGACTTGATCAAGTCTACTAAATGCAACTCAGAAACTCCAGAAACATGGATGAAGGAGAACCAAGGAGAACCAGCTCGGTACCACCAAATTTGCTGCTGGACTCGGTTGATCTCCTCCTCTCCAAAGCCCCCCCCCCCATCTGCCATTTTCATGAAAAGAAATTCACCCAGAATTAGCTTTCTACATTTCCTTGACTGTCTGAAAAAAATCCTACCCAAACATCCAGTTAACATTTTAATTATCCTGCTTTAGTATTTCTGCTGGCACTAATTGCCTGAGGGGGTCTAAGGAAAAAAATTAAGACATTTTCTTGCTTAGGATGGTTTAATCTAGCTCTGTTCCTAAGGGCTGCTTCAACTTGTTATTTTTTTTTTCCTAATAGGAAAGAAGTGATCCGTCTGGGATGGAGAAGATAGGATAGCAGTAAAAGAAATATTATGGAACTGAAATTATCTTGGGGTGAGACTCTGAAAAATATCCAGGCTGATCAAGACAGAAGTGGACCACCAGTTTTCCATCAGCGTTGGTGCACCCAACCGAGACACCGACCTATAAATACTTCTTTTAAATCTTACCTTAAAAGAAATTTAGGGCACTCTCTAAAATGGTAGTTATAGAAGTCTGATGCCAGAGCAAACAAGAAATATATCACAGAAAAACCGACACATTCTAAAATAGTCGACAGGAATGGTTTAGATGCAAGAATGCTCAAAAGGAATATTATAGAACAAAATATGGCATTTTTTTCAAATGAAAATCACACTTTGAATTATGTTTTTTTTTTTTTTAAACAGCTTGGTGCGGACAATGGGAGGTGGTCATCAGAGATGGACCTGGAATTTTTGGACCTTCTGCCCCAGGTTCTGGAGGAGTTTGGTCCTTGGGATTTTGAACAAGGTAAAAAAAAGGAGATCTAACATAGCTTCCAAATTTCAACCATGCCGTTGGGAAAAGATGGGGAGTTTTGGGTCTTTTCAAAAAGACAACGTCTAAAGCCCAACTATTCTCCCGTTTCGGATGGAGAGGACATTTAATGATGGACCTTGTCAACTTTATGGCTACTTTTCGGGTCCAATGGGAATCCGAGTGGGAGAACTTTATAAAGTTGCACGTTTGCCCAAGCAAGAGATGCAGAGCAGGAATTTAGACGCAGTTGCTCTGCCCAAAAAGAGGGAAGCAGGTCTACTGCAGTTTATGGGGGTGGGGGAGGAATTCCTACTTACAATCCAGTGAAGTGAGCAGAGAAAAGGAAGCCCCCCCCCCCAAAATAAACATCTTCCTTCCCCCAGATTCTACAGGGGAACTTTGCAAATGTGGGTCGGGAGCACTCAATTGTTGTGGCTCCAACTAACTCCTCCATCTGAGCTCTGAAGGAATGATGAAAGATTCTGCAATTATGGGATGGAAAGGGGTGGAGGGGAGGAGAGCCACTTGCTTTGTGCAAACCAAAACCCCACAAGCTACCATATTTTTTGGACTACAAGACACACTTTTTTGTCTCCCAAAAGGGGGCGAAAATGTCTGTGCATCTTATAGACCGAATATTGCCGAAGCCCCGCCCACCGGCTGTTTTTTTGGCCTCCGCACACCCTGTTTTTGGGCCTCTTTTCAGCCTTTTTCAGGCCTTTTTATGGCCCATTTTAGAGGCTTTTTTCGGCTTCTTTTTGAGACTTTTTGGGGCAGTTTTGGGGGCTTTTTCAGCCTGTTTTCAGGGCTTTTTTCAGCCTGTTTTTGATGCTTTTGGGCCTGTTTTTGAGGCTCTTTTTGGCCTGCTTTTGGGACTTTTTTGGCCCTATTTTGAGGCTTTTTTTTTTGCCCATTTTCGGTGTTTTTCAGCCTGTTTTTTAGGATTTTTGGCCCATTTTGGGGACTTTTTTCGGCCTTTTTGTTTTGTTTTGTTTTTGAAAAAATGGACTGAAAAAGCCTCAAAAATGAGCCGAAAAAAGCCTTGAAAACGGGCTGCAAAAAGCTCCCAAAACAAGCAAAAAAAAAAAAAAAAAAAAGCTGTGGAAACAGGCTGAAAAGAGACTGGAAAAGAGCCGAAAAAAGGTAGGCCAAAAACTTT